TTCTCTCCTTTTCCTACGCCTCAGCTCCCTCCTGTGTGCGTTTCGTTTTTATCTCGTCCTCTCTCCAAATCCCAGACTTTCTTCTGCCTCTCCTCCATGTCTGTCTGCTTTCCCACAACCATGCATTTTCAACGCCCCTCCGCTCTCTCTAATCCCCCTCAGTACCTCTCACCCTGCATGTCTCCCTCCCAGGACCAATGCCCGCGCTGGGCATCTAGGATTCCAGGGAAGCCCCCAAATTATCGCACATTTGCCCCAGCTGGTTCTAGTTCATCCTTAATCCCCTTGGATTTTTTTTAGGTCAAACACCAGAGATGGAGCCCAGGGTCAGGACACATTTATTCATTCTCTCTCTCTCTCTCTCTCTCTCTCTCTCTCTCTCTCTCTCTGCCCCTCCCCCGCAGTAAGCAGCTTTTGCAAGAGGTTTAGAGAACAGTCCGGGGAACCAGGCAAGCCCCCCTTTTCTCTTCTCCCCCTGGCCCAGTGGCCCCCAGGCCCCTCCAGCCCACAAGAGACAGATAAGACCTCTGCTTGGGACATGCATCCGAGGACACTGGGTTTCTTGCCCCTGAATCACATTCTGAGACATGAGACACGTCATCATCCCCTCCCAACTCGGTGACACACCCCACAGACCGGGCAGCTGGGATCCCCGGAGGATGGGACAGTCATTGACTCTCCGGGGATAAATACAATTCAAACAAACATAAGCCAGCGTCTGTCCCCGGTCCTTGGACGTGCGACCAGCCTCCCTCCCTGCTCCAGATCATATGGCCTGTGCCAGCTCCTGACTCATACACAGGACCCAGCCACTCTACCCTAGTCCTGTCCCTAGGACTTCCCGGGACCCACGGGAACACAAGATGCTGCTTCTCAACACAAATAGCTCCTTCCCTCTGCTTCTGGCTGACACCCTTTCCATCATTCATTCAGCACACAGTCTCTGAGCAGCTCCTCCATGCCACCCTGTGCTGGAGAGAGATGGGGACACAGCAATGACTGAGGTGCCCAGCCTTGCCCTCTGGAATCTCACATCCCAGTACGGAAGACAGACCCAACATGAGTGGTGATCCAGAGTGGTCAGGGCGAGGTGGGGAAGCCCAGAGGATGGTGAGAGCTCAGAGGGGGCACTTGACTCAGCCTGGGGAGGTCAGGAAGGCTTCCTGGAAGAGGAGCCCAGAACAATAAGTATAAGTGAGCGAGGTAAAGAGCAGTAGGGTGTTCCAGGAAGATGAAATAGCATGTCCAAAGGCTTGAGGGAGGGCTGTTTATTCAGTGTGGCTGAAGCGTAGAGAGCAGGAGAGACATGGAAAGGGTCTGCTAGGCCTAGTAGGTTCACACATAAACACATACACTGCACTTGGGTGTCTACTATAACACCTACCTGGCCCTTAACCTCAAGGGAGGGGCAGAACACAAAAGGGATCCCTCCTGGGTACAGGAAGCCCCAAACCCCAGATTTAATCCTTTCGGGTCATCCATGGAGACACTGAGACCCAGAAAGAGAGTCAGGTCCCTGCCCGAAGCTGCACAGATTCCTGCGCACTCACCCAGACACCCTCGTGATTCGAAACTCCTCCTGAATTTGAGCATCCATCTGAAGCCCTGGCCCCTATCCCAGAAGGAAAACAGACACACACGCTTTTTAAAAATTGATTTATAATATATATTTGCACCAAAGGACAAAATCCTAAGTGACCACTTAATAAATTCACACATATTCTTTTTTACTGTCAAAAATACAAAAGCAGCCCTGGCCTGTGTTTCCCAGTGGTTAGAACATCGGCCGGTGCACCAAAGGCTCCTGGATTTGATTCCCAGTCAAGGGCACCTACCTGGGTTGCAGGTTTGCTCCCCACCCCCGATTCGGAGGCAACCAGTCGATATGTCTCTCTCACATAGATGCTTCTCTCTCTCCTCTCTCTCTTTCTCCCCCCCCCCCCCCCCGCTTTCACTCTTTCTCCCACTCCCTCCCTTCCACTCTCTCTGAAAAGCAATGGAAAAAATATCCTCAGGAGAGGTTTAACAACAACAACAACAAAAAGAAGCAAAACTGCCATCCTGTTATGCCTCCCTTCCCCCCCCCCCCACACACATATTTTACACCCCGCAAATTCCGTACATGTGGCTCAGGGGTTTAAAACTCAAACTCTACCCTGGGCGGGTTTCCCCCAATGAGTAGAGTTTTTGCCTGTGGACTGGAGGGGCCTGGGCTCAGTACCCCGGTAAAAGGGGACATTACCTTCAGTTGCAAGGTTCTCATGCGGGGTGGGGGGGAGAGAGAGAGCAGGCAAACGATGTGTCTCTCTCCCCTCCATGTTTCTCTCTTCTTTTTTCTGCCCGCCTCCTCCCTCCCTTTCACTCTCTCTAGAA